GGCGGCCTACCCTCTCCCCTCCGTCTCCTCGTCCTGCCCTGTCCTGCTCCGGGGCGACTTCTAGCCGAGGGCCCCTCTGGGCTGTAGGCGCCAGCTGCCCCGGAGTTGGGACCTGACGGGCGGGCGTTCGGGCTCATCGGTGCTGGGAGAAAGTTCCTGAGGGCCCCACTGGTGCGGGCTGAGCAGGCTGCGGAGATCGGGCGTCCCCGTGCCGGGACGGGCATGGTGTGGAGCTTCCTCAGGGGTCCTAAGATGTTGGTTTTGGTCTTTGATGGCGGCTTGAGCGGCTTTGTCAGTGTGTCTTAATGGTCTGCATACAGATACATAAAGCTGTGTGCCCTCCTTTTTATTTTGACCACAGCCCTTTTTTAGCATGGAAGGCAGAGGGCGGTTGGAAGGCTGCCCTGTGACATGAAACTTGCATAACAAATTCTATTTCTTCTGTAATCTGTAACTCTACGATAAATGAAGTACACAGAGTTTCAGAAGAATGCATTTACTTGTTCAGCACTTATGCCTTCCGGGCCGGCTGGCAAAGTGGGGTTTTCTGGTGGAATGTATGTTCTAGAAACAAAGTATGAAGTAATACCAAACTAAAAAAAACCCCTGGATATTATCAGAGTATTGCAGACAAGGCTTCCTGACGTTCTTGATAATTTATTCTATTCTTTGCTGTCTGTTGCACTCACTTTAGGATCCCAAAGCTGATGATTTGTTTGCTGGGAAACAGCAAAACAGCAAAATCCTTTTTCTTGTAAATTTTAAGTTGTGACTATTTTCACAAGAGTATTTATACTGACCTTAACTTAATTTTAATTCTTTATAATTGATAAAAAATTCATTATTTTGAGATATTTTTATGTTAAAGATTTTCTTGTTCCGTTTTCAGAGGAAACTTTAAAATGGAAGTTTAGAAGACAAGATTCTGCTTGATGCTGAAGTAAAAAAACCCCAACTTTATAAGCAAGATCTTGAAGTGCAGTGTAATATGACTGTAGTTTTGGTTTTAGAACAAGCTAAAAGCTTGTGGGTGGGGTTTTTTATTTAATGTGAGGAAAAACTGTGTAAGTAAATCACTTTTGCAGCCAATGAATTACTCAATATTTACACCTGTTGCTTTTAAATTAATGGTAGTATTCTATTTTAATAGTAAATTTCTGTGAATTAAAGAAAAATATAAGTATTTTCAAAGATGAGGGATTTAATTGATGTAAAAATACATGTCTTGATTTGATGAACAAAATATATTAAGACACACCTGAAATAAAAATTGGTTTCTAGTCTTTGAATAGCCACTCTAATCCAGAATAGCATTCAGTTTTCTGGTGTGATCTGACACTTCCTTTTTCCTGTGCAGACTCTTTTTATTAAAATATTGAATACTCATTTAAAATGACACAAAAATTACAACTGGAATAATACCCCAGATTTTTTCATGTATTTGGATCTTTTCTGCTTACAAAAAGTATTTTAATCATGAGCTGTGGAAATGATTTTGTGGAAACTCTTAAGAAAATTGGATATCCAAAAGCTGATGAGCTTAATGGAGAAGATTTTGACTGGCTGTTTGAGTCTTCGGAAGACAAATCGTTTCTGGAGTGGTTTTGTGGAAATGTAAATGAGCAGCATGTGGTATCTGAAAAGGAACTGCAAGATTTTGATAGTCTTCTTGAGTCTGGTAAGCCCGTTTTGGAAGGAAATGCGCTGGATGAAGTCCTTAAAACCTTGAAGCCCATGGATTCAAAGAACAGTAGCCAAGAGGAGGAGGAAGAAGAGAAAGAACTGAAGAAATTACAGGATGAGCTTCAAACTCTTCAGAAGTTAAAAAAGCTTCAAATCCATCGGCATAATAAGCTTCAAATGTTGATTTCTGCTAACAGCCATATGTTACAAACATTAAAAAGCAAAGAGGAAGAAGCACATAAGGATTTGAAAGAAGGACTGGAAGTGTTTACTGCGGCAAATAATAAGCTTAATAATGAACTGCTGTCTCTTACAGATGCCGTTAAGAAATTGGCCTCTTTCTTCACTGCTTCAGATTCAGAACAGGGGTCAGGTACACATCCAGTGTTTTTTTCCCAACTTTCTTTGGACAAGTATTTGTCTCAGGAAGAAAAAAGCACTGCAGCACTTACCTCATACATAAAAAACCAGTCTTATCCAGGTATGTCTGAATGGGTCAAAATTTCACAGGAAGACAGCTTTCAGCTTGTGGATGTAAGCAAACTAGCCGCTTGTGATGAGATTAATGAAGTTAGTGAAGAGAGTCAAGAGATGGCCAGGCTCCAGACAGCATATATTTGTGCTCAACATCAGCTGATTCAAATGCAAGCTAAAGAGGAGAGCATGAATTCAGCTATAAAATGCGCGGAGAGCATGCTACAGTCCTTAAAGAACCAGGTAAGCTGCCAAAGGTGGTAGAAGATAGCGGAGTTTTAAACAGGCAGGTGTATGCAATTGGATCTGGTAAAAGGCATTGCGGAGTTATTTTTATTTCTGCTATTTTTACATAGTGAAATTGCATTTTTATGAAGTTTTAGTCTGGCTCACAAAACTCCTGTTGTGAAATAGCTCCAGTTTCTATAGTTAGAAATTCTTCAGTATGGCAGAGTACCTTTAACTCTGCTTTCCAGAATTACTGCCTTAAAAAACCCTAGAATTTAGTAGTATCTTTCTAGTTTAGTTTAACTTTGAAATATCAAATTATAACTGGCTCTCAGTTGTTTGTACAACAAAAAAAAGCTTAACTTTGGTTGAAATGTTGTGGTATTGAGGAATTAATATGATAAATATATTCCTGTTTATATTCCATAGCATAAACTTGAAAAGTTTTAGTTCACTGACTTCTGAAACACCATAATGTCACCATGTTACAAATACTTGAGATGTGTTTTAGATACCAACTAAATGAATAGGATAGTTGAAGCCCTAGAAATCTCTCAACGAGTGAGTGACAGGCAGATGTGACTGCTGGAATTTAAGAATGTGAAGAAATTGGAACATATTAGCTTATGCCAGTCATGGACTAACTTGAGGCATCGTGTCAGCTTGTGTATTTTCATTTATGGATGACTAGCATATAGGGCTTGATTGATTAGAGTAATTTGAAAAAGATTGATTCTGATAGCAGCGTTGCTGATCATCCGACTGAATATAAAAAATTGTTTGCATGTGAGATTTCAGTTAGACATGCTTGAAATCTGGTGCTAAGTAAAATACAGCTCTTCTATTTTTTCCCACTATAAACTGTATTCTGGCCCTGCGATTGAATGAAATTACTATTTATTCAAGTACATTTATCTGATAGCTACTTTTTAAATCTGTATTTACCTTATGTTATAAAGTTCTGTAAAACTGCTTGTGGGGTTTTCATTTAATTTTGTAGATACAAAAGAGACAGTGATTTTAATGTAACATAGGTACATGAATCTTGTGTGAACTGAACATATGTGTCAGGGAAGTGTCTTGGAGGGAACCATGAAGAAACTGATAAATGTTTTGCTTTATGCAGGATATTGGAAAACAAGAAAACCTCGATGCCAAAATATCTAGTTTAAATGATGAAATTTCAGCAATTAAACAAGAAATAACTCAGATAAACAATGAAGAGCTTCTTCCCCTCCTGAAAGAAAATGCACGGCTTATGAGTGCGCCAGTGGTGAAAGGATACTTGGATCATCAGATTGCTCAGCAGGACTGTTATGCTTCAAGACAAGATGAAATATGCAGGCATTTGGTAAGACAAAAAGCATCATTTGAACTTATCGAGCTAGCCTATGAAATGGAGTTGAAGAAACATAAGGAGATCAGCTGTCAGCTTGAGAATTTGGTAGAATCTCTGAAACAGAGCAGTAATGAGTTGCAACAGAGGCTACAGGTGATAACTGAGCAAACTCAACATGCAAAGCCAAGAAACACTATTAGTTCAAAGGACGGTTTCTCGTGCAGGTAAGCATTATAGTCGCTATCAAATTTTGATTGACTTTGAAATAATACCAAGGACCCTTTTCTATTGCTAAGTTCTTAGTTAACTTGCTATAGCTAGTATTTTGAATTCTCCAGAAGTGAAGCCTTCAAGATATGAGATTTGCTGCTTGCCTGTCCTTTGAAATCGTTTTCAGGTTTGACTGAGGAAAAACTGTTCAATTATCAGTCTTGTTAATATTGCTGAAGCATTCCCAAGCAATAACCAGAATAAAATGAATGTTTAAAGCCAAACCTGTCTTACATGGTGCCCCGATCTAGGACCTCTTGAAAATTGTTCTAGAAGTCAAGTGCTGTTAATAACTGATTTATCAGATCATATGCATGGCCTCATATGCTTAACCTGCAAAAACCCCCATGTGGTAGAGGAGAGGAATGACTACTTGAATATGTGAAATGTATTTACCTCATTTTTACTGCTTCATTTACCACCTGGCTTCAGTGTCCTGTCACCCATGTAGGAGTTTTTTCACCATCTAAGTAATTGTCTCCTTGTAGCTCAGGTGATAGAGTAGGAATGTGTGCTGTGTTGCTGTCACTTCAAGACTCTAAACCTTTGATGAGGTGTATTGTGTAATTATAGGTGTGTTAATGTCAGACTTTTCCTTCTTCTCTAAAATGGTGCTTTAAGTGTTTTTAATAATTGTTAAGCAATAGTCGAGTATAGTCTTGCACAGTGAATAAGTGCAAGAATTAGGCAGCATTAATTTTGTTCCCCCTGTGTGTTTGCGTTGGCAATTCATAACCTTTTTTTTTCAGGTTTATTATTAAGTCTCCAAATCGCTGAATCAAAATGTTGTCTGGCTACTTGTTCACTTTTTTTTTTTTTTTCCAAAAGGCATGTGTTAGTATTCATGATTGTGAAGGGAAGTTGACAAAGTGAAAAACCCTAAAGTGCCGGTAAACAGAAGACACTTGAAAGGAACTAAGCTACTTTTGAAATATAGCTTCTGCTCTTATTAAAGCCAATCTGATTCTATACTGGGGCTCAACTCCTTAAGATTTTAATATGCAGAGGTGGTAGTAGCAACTGAGCAAAGTTAGCTGTAATCGTATTAGACTCCTCCTGATGCAGTGCAAGGGTACGGTTTGGTACAGCTGGTATTGCTGTCTTTTGCATGACTTGTAACTAATCAGAGAATTTCTTAGCAGTCTCTTCATAGATAGAAAATGGAAAATACTCCGGTAAGCTTGAAAATGTCATTAAATGTCATTGACCATTGAAGTCTGCTTGATTTCAGCACTTAAAAATGGATCTTACTTTGCTGTCCTTGAAGTCTTGGGAATTAGTTAGCAAAAGCACATTGTCAACTTCTATTTGTATTCATTATGTACTTATTAACTGTTACTTTGGTATTTCATTACTGTTAATATTAAAATATTTTTGAGTCCTATTAATCACATGCTAGCTATATTTAGATAGAATCATTAAATAATTGGGAGATACAGAAGTGTAGTAAGAATACCCTGAGCAGTACTGTCCTTTACTCATCCTTTGGCTTTTCAACATGAACGTCTTCTCTTGACTAATAATGGCAGGAGTGCGTAGGAAACTTAACAGTGCTTGTGTGTCTAACTTCACTTGTTGCAGGCTATATCAGCTTCTGGAAGGAGAAAATAAAAAACAACAATTGTTTAAAACATATGAAAGCCTGGAGCAGATGGCTCAGAAGTTAAAGCAAGACTGTGCTACAGTACAAGATCAGCTAGCAGCATCTTCTCAAGAACAGTCTCTCCTTTTGTCTAAGCTACAAAGTGATGTAGATACCCTTTATGATTCTCTGTATCATGGAGGAAATCAGATACAACTCAGTAGTCGGGTAAGCCCTTATCTAGTTGTTAAAATTATTACATTAATGTGTCATGTTCTTTTACTGAGAGAAATGTGGTATGAAGGCTCTAGACACACAAGCTGGCTCCCACATGTCAGCAACACATTTATTAGCATAATGATGATGGGCCCAGTATTTAGATTGTTCTTAGCAAATGTTGGGTTTTGGAAATGTCGAGAGGTAATAATTCTTTTCTTGCTGAGCAAATTGTTGCATCCAACTTTTAATTCCTTTCAAAGGCATATACAGTCCCGTATTACTAGTAAGTTTATGGTGCGGGCAATAGGTCATCTGGATATGGTATCTCTAGAAAAGTTATTTAAATTTCTCTTTATTTCAGATCAGTTTTTTTCCCCTGTTACCTGTAACACCTGAATAGTATGGTCAGGCCCCTTAAAAAGCCTGGCCATGGGTGGTTCATGTAGACAGAATATCAGAATTTTGAAGGACAGTTGTAGTAGGACAACCCTGCTAAAGAGCTCCCAGGTGTTGGGTTTAGAGCCTCTCTTAAATGGGAATAAAGGTTGTTAAATGCAGCTTGTTACGGTTTTTAAATAACTGTAGATATCTCAAAAGTGGATTGAGGGAAGTCCTCTGTTACATAATACTTCCTTGGTTAAATACATAAAAATATATTTAACACTTCCATCTGTCAAGTGAATTTGCAACATACAGAACAGTTTTTATTAAAAAAATGAATCTTTGTAATTGGAATAATGCATATTTACGGATTACATGTTATGAAATCAATCAAATACCTTTCTATTGATTCAAATTAGCTCTTAAAATATAATGACATCTCTTTCTATTGCTACTGTTTATCAAGAAAAGTAATTCCCTTAATAAGGAAATAATGTGCAAGTAGATGACTAGCCTACTCACAGTGAACTATCATAAGAATGACAGTTGGGAAAATTGTAGCTGGTAGTTAATGATTTAATTTTAAAACTGAATTGGCTTCTTTTTTTGTGGTTTTTTTGTTCCCTTTTAAGATTTTATTAGCTATGAAGACTTGTAATTGACTGAAAATATCATTCAACCATCTATCCAGTTGAGGGCCAGATTCTTATTGTCTTAACTCCTGTGGTTTAGTAAACAAGTAAATGAAATTACATTTTCATAAACCAATGCAAGTACCATTACATGGAGCTCAAAAGTTACATAAATGGAATGGAATCCCTTATCACCTGTGTTCTATTTTTTGTGACGACTTTTCACTTACAAATGAAAGCGCTTCCAAAAGCAAAAACCTTATATATTTCTAGTGTGGCTAGTGTATTAACAATATAAAAGTAATAATTTTTTGTCTTCTCTTTTTTGTTAGGAACTTACTGAGCAGTTTAATGAACTGGAAATTGATTTAAATAAACTAAATCAACTCCTTATGGATCTGATTGCTGATGTGAAGTCAAAGAAAAACTTTTTAGAATCCAATAAGCTGCATCAGATGGAAAGAAACTTGTATGTGTATTTTTTCAAAGATGAAGAGCACTTGAAAGAGATGGTGGAGAAGCTTGAGCAGCAGTCTAAGGCTAAAGCCAGTGGTCTGGAAGATTAGAATTTCACCACTAGTGAAGTTCTTAATGTTTGAACTTCAATGTACTCTTAAGAAAGGAAAACGTGTTAATGTAAACTGTCTACAAGTTTATGGAATGATAAGTATTAGCTTATCAAGGCTAACATTTATCTATTGTTGCAATGTATGTTTTAGCTGCCACAGTTTCTAAGTTTGGATTGTATGCTGCTTTATGGCTTTTGGCATCTGCCCACTGAGTTCAAATCTCAGTTTTGTCAGAGTTCTTTGATATGAAGTAATACATTGGTTATTGGAATGAATTACATTCAGGCTGCTCTTCTGCTAGCCTGCGTGTTGATTTCCATGGCGCACAGCGTTGCACAAAAAGGAACATGTCAAATGCTTGAGAGCGATTTTCTTGCATGCTAAGAACCTTTGGTATGTGAACTGAAAAAAATGCAGAGAAGGCATTCCAGATTTTGGAACATGAATGTAATGTGCTCATTCTGAAGAGGAGAGTTCTCCAAGGCAGATGTTCTGTGATCATTTCCCTTATAGCTCTCTTAAGAAGATTTGGTTTTGTTAGAAATGTGTCAGAAGTGTATCAGAATCTGTTTCATGTACCAGGACCATCTGTTTTAAGACCATTCTGATATCTCTTAATTTAACTTATGGTTTATCTTCTCCATTGAAACCAGTTCCATACTGGGCTCTTCAAAGGAAAAGAATTTTAAATTTACCTTTTGGACTTCTGAGTTTGCTCTATGATTTATAATGATAGGTGTTACAATTCAGAGTCCTGACACTTTCATACTTCGGCTTTCATGTGCATTGTTAGACTGTTTATCAAATTTTTATATAGCTTCCTAAAGTACCAGTGGAACTAAATAGGCTTTTATGGTATGATAACTTCCAGTCTTTTATATTTTGATGGGATCAGCTGTGCTTGCTTTCAAGCACTGTACATATAGATGAAGGTTATTTTTAACTTCAGTAACAGTAGTCTTAAAACTATTTTGATGACAGACTTTTAACTTTTATGTGAGTATAACTTATTTTTAAATGTTTAAATGTTTTTTTTTTTTTTAATTTACTGGCTGGATGTGTTTATATCTGGATTTCATGCTGCTTAACTCTAGACATTGTGTTTATTATTAAATGCTGAACAATATAAATTCAGTTCAGTGTTGTCAATATTTATGGTGAATCTGTGTGTTGGTTTTAGGTGTGTTCTCATGCATAGTGTCTTGTTTATATTTAGTCTGCTACGTTCTCATTCTGATATGCCCCTGAGGCTTTAAGACCTGCTTCCCACCCTGAGAAGTCAGGGAGTGTTTTTACCGTGCGTAGGAAAGAAGCATTGCTCTTAATTATGAAAGTTAGGAGGAGCTGTGCATGGGGAGGGATTAGACTTCTGACTCCTGGAATGTTTCCCCCTTTTGCATGCTTACTGTAAAATTTGAGCTAGATAGATATAGCCAATACTAATGCAGCCTGGTGGATGTACATCTTTGAATATGGATACAAATGTCTGTACTTTTAAGTATTCAAACTTGCAATCTGCCCATGGTTTTGGGCTAAGAAAAATATTTCTGTATAAGAGGAGGAAATGCTGTTTACTTTGATGGTTAAACTTAGCTTTAAAGTCTACTCATGCACTAGATTTAGTGGGAGAAGACCAGAGTAACAGGACTCCAGTTATTAACTTGTATAGGAATAATGCACTTAACAACAGTTTTTGGTGGAGCAATTGACTTGTATAACTTGAATCCTTTAAATATTTTGAAAATGTTGGGTATTTCCTGTTTGTGGTAAGTTTTATGCATTGTTCTGGTCTAACTATATAAAGTCAACAAAGTCATCAGTATGGACACTGTTGTTTCTAATTCTCCCATATGTGATGTACCTAGGGGGTCTCCAAGTATTTTGTATGTGTTACAAAATATGACTACAGGTCAAGTGGAAAAGCAACTGCTTTTCAAGAAAGGATACAACTTAGGACAGCAATAGCTGCAGTCAAAGCTTGTAGAGGCTTTAGATGTTGCTGACTTGTTTCTTAAACTGCCAAAAAAACGATAGTAGCTATTTTAATTTTATTAACGTTTAATAGTGCTTGAGTACCTCAGTTATACAAAGTTTAAGGAATAAAGGTCTCTTATGAGAAGTATTTTCTGAAATAACATATCACTAATGTTATTGTATCATGATGGTGGTAATTGTTTCTTTCATCTGGTGTTGGCTCTGCTTTGGTGGTTACTTGAAAGGTTTTTTTCTTGATAAAATCTGAGCACCAATAATCATAAATATATGTGTAAACTAGGTATAGACTAGTTTAGAGATGCTAAGGAAGGGGGAAGTATTTCAGACATAAATGATAATTCTTGTTTGTTAGATTTTTTTTTTTATTAGACTAGCTTTACTTAATAGGACTGCTTAGTTTGTTACCAGTGTATTAGAACACTATTTCAAAGAAGTTTCACTTCGTGGTTTTTGTAAATTACTGCAATTTACTAGTTTTTATTCACAATACTGAAACTGGTAAGGCATGTCAGGGAGGAAATGTCATTTTCTATTGAGGAGAATGAATGGCCGAACATGTTCACTATATTTTGGTTTTAATTTCAACAGAATGTGAGTGCAGATTGTTCTGTGGCCCTGATATCATGTGTGATTTGTATGTCTTCTGTGTTTAGGTTTAATCTTAAAAATGGAATGGTACACATCATACATAGGATGTGAGACTTCTAAAGTGCCTTTATCTGATACCGCTCAGAGGATTATGACAGCTTTGCAGTCTATTCCTATAGGAGAAGTTCAGACTAGCAGAAAAAATAACCAGAGTGAGTAAATCTTAGCCTGTTTAGGTGTTTCTATTTTCAGTTGAAAAACTGAAACCCAAACAAACAAAACAATATCAAACCTGTAGTCCCTATTTAAAAAGGAAAAAAAAGTGAGAGCTTAGGTTTCCAGGTTTAGAAAGGAAATTAAGCTGTAACTGCAACGTTGCTGGGACTTTTCTGATTAAATAACACTATGTGAGTGCAAGGAACTAGGATATTACCAGTACCCTCAGTTTCATTATTTGTTTTTTTTTTTTCTTCCTGTTCCTGCTATGTGGTATAGAAGCAGATGAGAATTTCAAACTGTTAATTAACTAATACTGTAAGTTAAATGTATATGTTTAAATATCTAGTCCAGAGTCAAGTAAAGATCACTAGAGGTTCTGGGAGCTTACCAGAAGGCCTGTGAACTCTCCAGACTCAGTCTGTCCTTTAAACACGTGTTCATTAGCAACTCGCCCCTTGAGAAATTCTAGGAGGAAGAGTGAACAAAAGTCCCAGTGGTAGAGCAAATTAGGTAATGTTAGAAGTGCCTCAGCAGATCTTTGACTTTGTTGAGCAAATCTTGCTCAAAATGTTGTGGATACTAGGGAGGTTTTGCAAGATGGAATTGTTATTCTCAATTCTATGTATTTCGTAGCCTGCCAGTCTTCTAGCTCTGTAAAGAAGTAGACAGAAAGTTAGAGTTTTCTTGTTTCAGTTGTCTGTTTTCTCCTGAGAACTAGATCCTGGAACATTATCTGGTCGATGGGATTTAAATCTAGTATTTGTTCTTGTTTACATGGCGTTTGCTGCAGCCTTGGTTTTATGTAAATAACAGTTTAGGTTCTTTTTTCAGTAGTAAGGTATTGGATGGAGCCTGATGGTGTAGCAGTGAAAAGGGTAGTGGCTCATTGCTGTGTAAGTCAGTGATACACATTTGAAGAAATATGGGATGGGTTCATTTTAAAATTTGGACCAAAACCTGCTTATTTTAAAGAAAATCATATCTCTCTTTAGACTCAGTTTAATTGCTGTTCTCCTTCTCTTGCTACCTTGTCATTTTCCCTTCCTTAATATTCCTGGGTAATGTTTTTTGTCTTGGATTTAGGAACTCTCTGTACTGTGCGATATCTGTATCATGTTATGCTGTCTGCTCTTGATCCATTCACTCTGTCAAGCTGTAAAATTGCAGATTCTTTCTTTTTTTTAGGAAACACCGTGAAGGTGTCTGGAATCTTTAACCAAATGAGTTTGCTGTTTTCTTTGTAGTGCTGCTAAATCCTTATTCACTGGGGAGTGAAAGAACAGTATAAGCATTTAGTGGCGGCAGGTCATGTGACCAGCTATACTTGCTCATGTTTTCCATCTAGTGATTACTCACAATTGTTTCTAGTGTACAGACTTAAGAACAAATTTATCTGAATTGCTTTTAGGAACTTACCTGTATATATAGCTTTAGCTGATTGGCATCAATCTGGAGAGAAGAAAAAGTTTGCCTCCCTTAAAAAAAACAAAACCAAAACCTGTCATGTTAGTTGGTCTGTTTCAAATTGTATTGAACTGTATTTTACTGATAGATCTTTAAATATTAAATTCTACTTACTGGAAAAACTGTTTTCTTTAGAAGGTAAATACTGGGTTCAAATAGGATAAAAATCTGCAACGTTGGAACTAGTGCGTGAAATGCTGCGGTTATCTTGGTAGTAGAGCTTGTAATGGTTCCATCTAGCCTTAAGGAGTTTGAAGGCAAGGATGGGTTTCTACTGCCATCTGGTGATACTTTTTCATACACCAGAGTTTGAGCCTGCATCGCTCTTTGGATACCTGTCATACTGAGTACTGTGTGCTGAAGGAGAGAAATGTGATCCTCATCTTCTCTGGAGGGTGAATTTGTCAAGGGAAAGCATCTAGCTGTGAAACAATTGAAAGCACTGAATGTAAGCTCAGTTACTATCGTTCTTAAATTATAATTTATTGTAGGAAGTGTCAAGAAAACCAAACCTAAAATGCTTGAAGCTACAAGTACAGCTATGCCATATTCATTATTCTAACAGCTCAGGTTAGAAGTCTGAACTGGGGATAAGTAACTGGTTATACACACACCCCAACATGAACCTGCATGTAATACTGTAAAATTACAAGTTTAGTTTCTTCTGGAGACTAAGCTAGTTAGTCTTTCAAAATGCTTTCTTTTAGTATTTTAAATACAGGGTCCTAGTTTGCCTAGTCAAAATTTTTTAAAAACTATTTCAGTAAATAGAAATAGATCACCTTGTGCTGATGACCAATAGCAAACAAAGCTTATTAAATTCAGAAAGTGTCTTGCTGCTGTTAGTGTAAATTTCATAGCTGAAAACAGCAGTGGAGTGTTGTACTTGGTATGGACCAGGAGGTAGAAGGGGACAAAATACATATTTTGCCCGTGAGATGTCTTTTGGCTGGGCAGTAAAAGAGTCTAGAGATAAAGTAATCCTAACTAATTGCAAACTCTGGAGAGACCCCCACTTTAGAGGAATTCTCTTTTTCCCTGTTCCTCTTCCTGTACTTACTGAGTCTGTAATTACTGCTAGCCTGTTGCCCCATGTTCTTTTATTCCAGTCTTCACTTGCTTCTCTTCTCAGGGCTACTGGGCAGTGTTGAGGGCAGAAAAGAGAAGGTGTGTCCTAACTGTTTCATTTAGCATGGTGCAGAGTCCTGAGGTGCATTTTTGAAGCCAGCCTTAACCTGCAGCATCCGTCAGCTTTCAGAGTTGCAGACCTAGCTCTGATAGCCATCCTGCTGCTTGGGGTGCTACCTTACCCTTCTGTGGGTTTGGTAGGTCTGAATTCTTGCTTTCTGTTCTTTTCTGGTCTTACAATACCTGGTTTATTGCAAGGATGAACAATGTGAAAAAATTATCCTCTGCAGATGAAGCATGGTCAGTTCTCTGCAGGGCATGATATGCTAAATATGTGTATGCAAATAGTGTTTCACTGAAGAAAATTATTGTGGAATAATACTGCCTAATTCCAAGAAAACAGTGAACCTGTGTGATGTGTGTAGAATTTGGTGGGTTTTATTTTTCCCCCTTCTTGCCCATGCCTCCAGCTTTACTTTTACTTTGACCAAGGTAGGATGTGTTTTCTTGAAAAAGAAAATATGCATATTTATTTTGTTACAATAATGCCGCTTCTAAATACCGTGGAAAACATTTGTTGTCTTTGTAGCA